ATATATAAATTAAATAAAACAGATAATAATTGGAACTGGAGAAACAACAGGAATGACGTAAATGAATAAATAAGCCACAGAATAAACCCCAAATTGACCTGAATGACTTTCCGCAGATTGCCGCTTTCGAAACGAGAATCAAACACTAAAGACGACGTGGTTTTGTCTGGTCTTCCAATTCTGAAAAAGAACTCGTTTCTCAAAAAACGATCAAATATTTGACGATCGAAGCCTAAATTTTTCTTACTTGAAAATGTCGTCGTTGAGCATTGGTTGAATACTTTCGATCAGCGAATTTTGGCCATTCACCAATTGATCGAAGTCATAAACTACCACCGCAGGAAAAGATGGATTACGTATCCGTTCCAACAGTGGAAACACACGTTCACTAAACAGTTTCATAACAGATGTGTACAAATCACACGGCAAACGTGGATGTCCGGCAAAAACTTACAGTAGAGCAGAAGGGTAAAATTTCTGACGCTGGTGACAGAGGTCAGGATAGGAGTCGTAGAATTCAGGGAAAGGTACGGAGGTGAATGGGATGATACTCTTAGTTGTAAGCACCTGTGCTGCATAGTCTTCCCAGTCATAGCTATCAGCACAGCCCGTAAAACTGTAATGCGGTTTTTTTGGAGCAAGGAAAGCGCTCTGATTTTGACGGGTGCTAAGGAAATCGAGCTTGCACGGAAAACTGCGACATCGCTTTAGCGTCGAATTGCAAGATGGTCGATCCATTCCATCATGGATCGTATCGAAATCCAGGTCGTCGACAAATGATGCCGATGACGGCGGCACGTGCACCTGTGAACAACGGGTGGCACCCATGTAAAATTCAATGCAAATCGCTTGATACAATCGACGATCCCCTTCTGCTAATTTTACTCGCGGCACCTTGGCGTCTCCCAGTGCCGAAACTTCGTCCTCGACCTCAAAAATAACGACCTGGTAAAATCAGGAAAGCATTCAAAATGTTTAACTCAACATGAACCTGGACAAAATATATTCTCCAACAACTTTACAAAGTGGGCTCAATTTAATTCAAAGCAGCGAAATGGCAAAGTGGTAAAAGAGCTGTTTGAAACTCAGAAGGAGCCGAGCATGAATATCATAAAGGGACGATCGATGTCAAAACTGCGAATTACTCTGAGCAGGGAATTTACCCATGCTAATTCAGTACAACCAACCGAGAAAAGGGTAGCTAGTCGTTGAATGGCGAAGAAGAGGGACATTTTGCATTATACGATTGCCTCATGCGACTGCATGATGCTTCAATCCATCTGATAGTTAACTGCCAGTACGATGATCAACACAACGTGTAACTCACCGCAAAACTAATGGGCAGTATCACATTTCAACCCTTCGGCATATTCTTATATCCTAGAGGCAAGCTGAATCATTTCTGGAGATGAAATGAAAACATGATCAAACTGATTTTCCGTTGGCACATCAGGAGAGTGTCATGATATATTATTAATCTTATATACTGACTTGTGAGAAACACGTCATCAAGTATATCGTCAATTTCACACTGTTCTGCTAGTCGTTCGCCGCTATGGCCAATCTCGCCTATGCTGTGTTATCCAAAGTATCTATAAGGTCATTCAGTGTTTCCATGTTCACAATGAAATCACACTGAACAATCAAGAAATAATGGTTCGATATTGCTGAATTCAGCAAATGATTCAATATGGCGTAAAAATCCTCCATCACAGCCACTGCCGCAGCTTCGACAGGGCATAACACCCAACTGTCTTCGCACTTGAATTTGAGCCTTACCATAAGGATTCTAGCAGATATCAATGTACAAGATCTCTTTGTGCCTTTCTTTTGCAACGCAGCCTGCGACCGACGTCTACTGTTGTAGTTCCTGTGCAATAATGACTGCTTTCAGCGCTGGTAACAATGCTTGCTCCAAGCCAGTGCGCCTTTTCTATAGCAGGTATCTGGATTTCCATCCGGCCGAGTTCTTCTGCAAACAGTATAATCTGTCCAACTTTGTTTTAACGTTCACGTTGCTCAATGCAAAATGCATTCGAAACCTAGTAATAAAAGTACTCTTCTTCGTTTTGCAGTTTCTTTCAGATCCAAACTCATAGACAAGGAGGTTTCCAGGTGTGTTACTAATAAAGTCCGGGCCAAATGAAAAATTCTGTGTGGTTTTTCTCGTCGAGCATAAATCTACAGAGTGGGTGCCTGACATGAAACAGCTTCACCAGAGCGTCGTTAGCTTGGGGTTCAGGGTTCATGACAGGCTTTCTCGGCAACCGAGTCTAGGGATAATGCACTCCACCGCACTTT